CACCTATCTTTTCTTCCATGTGATCTCGTCGTCTTTCATGTCAATAAATGGTTTGTGTGAATTTATGAGCATACAACTATAGCAACTATTTACAAACCTTATTTTCTAAGTTTTTAAAAAATATAGGAAAGAATTTTCGATTTGCATAATCGTATGATTTGCAGAAATCCAATTTGCAAGCACTCTCAAAGATAATTCATTCCAAAGAATTGGTAGCGAAAGCAAAATTTTGACCCCCGTCAAAGGCCTATGAAGCTACCACTGAGCACAAGCAACATGTAGATTACAACATGGCCTCTTTGATTACCTTTTTTATTGTTAAAAGAACACTCATACGCATGGTAATTCCAAAATAATTAAGTCTATCCCCTTCTATGATATTCAAATGTTGTGTAGAAATGAATTTTGGTTATTGTGGATTTTTTGATGAATGCCACTCATTTTATGACTACTCTTTATACAAAAAATGGATAGTTATAGACAGGATTCCTAAAGTGCGTTTAGAACAAGAAGGTTGTTGTTGAGTAATGCTAGGATTTGAAAATTGCAAATGGAAAAGAAAAGCAGCTTGTCATGTATCTATGATAGATGTATAGGTATCATTATATTTCTTTTGGGACTTCCCAATATTTAACCTGGTAACGAAAAATTTGATTTTCATGTACACTACCTGTTTGAGCATTTGATTTTTTTAAATAACTGTCTTATTAAAATTATCTCTTCCCCAATTTTCCTGATATATTATTTTTGACCTTGTAGATATTAAAGAGAGATGAGGAAGGATCATACATATGAAGTTATAAAGGTGTCATCAAAGTCTTGGAATTATTTGGTCTATATGCTTGATGCGCAATTGAAATGAAGACTCTGGGACTACTAACTTTACGTAAGTTGGTCTAATGGAGTTTTTCTTATGAGTGGTTTAGATGGACCAATGGTCTATTTATAACGTGCTTAGTTTTATGAAGTATGTCTATGAAATTTGTTTTACGTGCTCAACGTTAGCTAAGCATTAGGGTTAATAGAAGATTGTTTCCTTGTATTTTACATGCAGGGAAAAAAAGAAAATTCAATAGAAATGAATAAGCATGCTTTAGCCGATTAGATTTTTGTTTTGGATTTTATTTGTTATCGTGTAATTTGATTTTCAAAATTCAAAAAAAAATCACGTGCAACGGACGTGTGCATCAACTAATATAATAAAATAACTAGAAATTTGTACTACATTTTGTATAAGACAATAACAATGATTTTGATTAATCTAAAGTGATCCATAATACATGAATTAAATGGGGTGTGTGTGTGTTTTGATATATTTAGTGTGTGTATGTTTTTTTTTGGTGTCGTAGTGTGCGCGTGGATGTGTGTGTTTTTCGGTGTACTTGTGTATGTATATTTGTGTATTAGTGTATGTGTATGTGTATTTTTGTGTGTGCGTGTATCAATGTGTGCATTTTAGTGTATTAGTATGTGTATATATTTTGGTGTATTAATGTATGTTTTTGGCGACTTAGTGTGTGTGTGTGTGTTTTGATGTCCTAGTGTATTTGTGTGTTTGAGTATATTAGTTGTGTGTGTGTGTGTTTTGGTATCTTAATATATGTGTGTTTTGGCATATTAACATGCATGTATTTAGTGTATTAGAGAGAGAGAGTGTGTGTGTGTGTGTGTATTTTGGTGTATTATTGTGCATGTTCATATTTTGGTGTATTAGTGTGTGTGTCGTATTGCTGTATCAACGAGTGTGTGTTTTTTTTAGTATTAGTATGTTGTATATTTTGGTGTATTAGTGTATGTATATATATATTTTGGTGTATTAATTTGTGTGTTTTAGTGTACTAGTATGTGTGTTTTAGTGTACTAGTGTGTGTGTGTGTGTTTTTTTTGATATATCAGTGTGTATTTTAGTGTATTTATATTTTTTGTGTAAAATATGTTATTTGCTTTGAAAAAATAATTTTTTTTTGTTTTTTTGAAAAAATACTATTTTTTTATTTTACTTCTTAAAAGTTTTTTTTGGCTGAAAAGTATACTCTCCTTTTTAATTTTTTTTTTAATATTTTGCTTTAAAAAATCGAAAAGCAATGTTTTTTTTTGAAAAGTTCGTAATAATATTGCCTATTTTTTTAAGGGAGAATTACACCAAAACACCCTAAAATTTGTCACTTAAACCCCTTAATATTAAAATATTATACATACTTCTAAAATTTGTACGTGCATAACACTTAAATCCCTTATCTTCAATGTCTGTTAGAATATCCGTTAATATATTATACTTAAACCCGCAAAAGTTTATATGTGTGTAATATTTAGACTTCTCAAATTTAAAATATTATACTCAGATAAAAAAAATCAAATAAAAGATAAAATATCAAATATTTTAAATTTTATAACCAAAATTCATGTTCTATTATGTTATTTTTTAAAATTAAATTAAAAAATCATATCAATAAATGACATAATATAACATTAATTTTAATTTTTAATTATGATATAAAATTAATGACAAAAAATTAACCAAAATTCATGTTGTATACTAATTATGATTTTTTAACAAAAAATTGTATTTTTATTTTTAATTATATATCAATAAATGACATAATATAATATAAATATTGATTGTAAAATTTAAAATATTTAATATATTCTATCTTTGATTAGAATATTTTTTATCTAAATATAATATTTTAAACGTAAATGATCTAAATATATCTATTAAACAACAAAACTAACCCAATTAAATATAGAAGATATTGTGTCTATTATAGTTTAGTCACTTTTTTATTTTTTAATTTTATTTTAATAGATAATATAATTATATACTAATTATAATTTTTTTTAAAAAAATTTAGATTTTTATTTTTGACATTGAAGATAGGGGTTTGAGTATAATTTATTAACTAATATTGATGACAGAGATTTAAGTGTACGTACATATAAATTTTAGGCATTTATGTGTAATATTTTAAATATTATAATTTAAATGATTAAGTGACAACGTTAGGAGGGCCGAATATAATTCTCCGTTTTTTTAATCCTTGTTTTTTTTCAAAATTCACTGCAGTGAATAAACATTTGGAATCCGGAGCCCCCTTTTATCACTGACCCACTACAAAAGTGGCTGAGGTACAATTTTGGCTTCTCACTTACGCATGTTCTCACTCCTCTCTTCACTTTTTCCCCATCTCTCTCTGTCTGCATGCTCCGGCGACGCGCGTGATATCCAATTTCCGGTGAGTTTACCTAAGAACTTATTTCTCAGGCGAACCTACGTGATTTTTGGGACTAAAAGTGTCAGACCATCAGGTTCTCTCTGTTCGGTCGGAGATTAGCTTTCTTATTTTCGCCTCACTTCTCTGTCTGTCTGATATGTACATTCATATGTATTACCGATCTTATACAAAAGGAGAGAAGAGGAGACAGTGCGGTTAGAGAGAGAATAAAGTGTTGTGTCGTTACTGTTAAGAGATAAGCTAGTTTCAGTATGTCATGGTGCGTCTTTTTTTTTTTTTTAAGGGAAATTTCAGTAACTTTTTCTAGTTTATCTTAGTTTCAAGAACACTCTTTTTATTTTTTAAATCTTCACGGACAACCTTTAAGATGTTAATTAGAATGTACTTTTCTTAAATTATCCATCATGATATATTTGAAAAAATTTCATCTGCACCCCCTCTAAATTGACATATCTTCATTGAGACCTTTTTATTTTTAAATTTTTTTTACGTATTAGTTCGAGCTAATTAAAATTTATTTTTTATGTATTAAAATTTGAGCCGATTAAAAATTAATTAATTTTTAATCGACTCAAATTAAATTTTAATCAACACGCATAGAATTTTAATCGGTCTAAATTTTGATACATAAAAAAATATAAATTTTAATTGATTCAATTTTTAATACATAATAAATAAATTTTAATCAACTTGAATTGAATTTTAATAAATAAAAAAAATAAAAATTTTAATCGGCCCAACAGTTCTAGTAGAGCTCAAATCGACTCAAATTGTAATATCTAGATTTTTTTTTTAATAGATTTGAATTTTAATACGTAAAAAAATAAAATTTAATCAATTCAAATTAAATTTGAATTGACTTAAATTTTAATACGTAGAAAAATGACTTAAATTTTAATGCGTAGAAAAATGAATTTTAATCGGCTTGAATTTTTACATGTAAAAAATAGATTTTAATCGAATTTATGTAAAAAAAAGTGGGGGGTTTATGTTGGGACATTTTTTGGTATTTTAGATGATTTGTTTTTGTTAGAAATGGTGCCTTAACCCGGGGGTATCAGGGATGTTTTTGATAATAGAGAGAGTGATTTTGAAGATATAATAAATTAGAAGGGGCGTGGTTGAATTTTTTTTTAAATGATTTTTTGCTTTATTTTGGGCTATTTTATGATAACTGTTGATATTTTACTGCTGTAATGTTTCTGTTTTTTTCACAATTTTTTCATATTATAGTCCTTTTTGTCTATATTTATGAGCATATATTTATTTTTGCACACTGTATCTCTGTTTGTTTGGTTTTTTTTTTTTTAAAAAAAAATCGACATATATTTCCCATGTTGTCAATTATTTTTGTATGTGTATTTTGCAGGTGACATCTCAGGTTTCCTTAATATGCTGAGTGAGACAGAGTATATTTATAACTATATTACTTTGTTTGGTTCATATCAATCTCATTTTTTCATAGAAACTGGCTTTATATATAGATTAGTCTTTCACATTTTAAAATGCGATTAAATCTCATTTGTGAGTGAAAAATGAGTTTTGTGACTAGGACTTTGATTCTCAGTTCATTCGCCTCTGAATTTATAGGTGCTTTGCTCGTGTGTGAGATTGCCTATTTAATCTCATATTGCAGAAGACAATACCTAGTATATATATTTGGCATCTCTATATTCCTCAACACTGTACCAAGCAGGCAATTCAGTCACTCACATCAAATATCGAGTAGAAGAAGGCCTCGTTCTTCAAAAACATAAGACGACAGTCATGGGCGAGACGTCTGTCCATCCTTTCCCTAACAATGATGGTGCAATTGGTAATCACTATGTTGTCTCCCTTTGGGTACTTGTGTGTTTTTTATGCGGTTGAATCAAAAGATCTAGATGCTGAAGTCTGAGCATTGTATTAGAGGTGTCTGAAACATAGATATTGGGATCGTAGATACCCCTAACGTCCCACGAACCAGGTTCGCACGACTCTTTTATAAGGTGGGTACGTTAACCAGATCACTCAAAGTCTTGACCCCAAATTATAAGTCTAACCGTAAATTGATTCATGATATAAGTAATCCACATCATAACTCTATCTTGTTATTTCTTTATTTTGGTGTTCTTTAAAATAAATATTTATTAACTATGTGTATACCAATATATTATTCTATATAAATGTTACAAAATGAACCACGACTCAAAATAGTTAACCAACTAAGGCTACTCTTACTGTACTGTGTATTAGAACAAGTATCGTACCACGTACTAAATCGATCCACGATCCATGTAACGTTGGTCTGAATGGTTTGTTTTAAATCTGGGCATAGTTTTTATTATTCATCCAGACATAGGAGAAACCTATGTTATAAATTCATCTCGTACTTTTTTTTTTTTTTTTTCTGTTTTTCTCTTTCTTTGTATTTTTCAGAATTTTTTAAGAATATATTATCTGCAATCAAGTTTCTATATAAAACAGTGATATTTAGCAAAGTATGAACCTTTTTGAGTTTGTGTGCAGAAATTTCAAGGACACTGAGAGAGGTTCCACCAGGTGATTACCTATTTCAAATCAAATCGTTCTCATTGCTTTCCAAGGCAGAAGAGAAAAGATTTGACTCGAGTGACTTTGAATCAGGTGGTTACAAATGGTGAGTTCAAATAGAAATCCTTTCTTCTCACTTCTGGGAAGTCTTGCTTTTTAAAATCCGAGATAAGTTTTCTCATTGTGTGCTTTGCCTTATTTGCAGGAAATTGTGTCTATATCCGACTGGATATGAGAAGGAAAATGGGAAAGGGCATATCTCTCTCTACTTAGCAATATCAGAGGCAGATACATTACCTCTTGGTTGGGAGGTTAATGTCGAATTCAAATTGTTTGTGTATGATCATATCCGAGACAAGTACTTGACCCTCCAAAGTAAGATTTCTCAAAATGCACATTCTTGCACTCGTAGTAATAATAAGTCTGTTTAAGCGGTCAGAAAGAGTATAACTTAAATTTTTTCTTTGCGTAACCGGTGTCTGTCATGTATGTAGATGCTGATGGGAGACTAAGACATTTCCACAGGTTTAAGACGGAGTTCGGTTTTGCCAAATTACTTTCCCTTGACACTTTCAAAGATGCTTCTAACGGATACCTTATTGATGACTCCTGTGTGTTTGGGGCCGAGGTTTATGTCATTAAATCTACTGGCAGAGGAGAGTGTCTTTCTTTGAAGGAGGAAACTTATTTCAATAGTTACGCTTGGGAGATCAAAAAAATTTCTGAGAGAAAAGAGAAGCGTTTGTTCTCTGAACCTTTCACCATTGGAAAGCACAAATGGTTTGAGCCCTTGGTTCCTCAATTCTTATTCTCTATGTACCATAACCAGATGGAATTGTTTCTTATGTACTGCTTTCTTTATTCATCTAGGAAGATACTTGTTTATCCCGAAGGACATGGCAGTGGAAAGGGCAAAAGCTTATCTGTCTTTCTATGTTTAGATAATTGCGGATCCCTTCCAACCAAGGTAAAATTGTATGTGGAATTTAGCGTCTTGGTAAAAGACCAAGTCAATGGCAACCACTGCGAAATGAAAGGTGAACACTTGCCCTCCATCTTTAACATATCACATATGTTCTTTTTACAAAGACTGAAACTGGTTTGTCACTATTTTCCTTTTAAAATTAGTTTGTTCCCTTCCTCTAAAATTTTCCTCTCAATTATTCTATCACAGGTGGTTACTGGTTCTGTGACCTAAGCAAAAGCTGGGGTTTTGATCTAATTTCTCTTCCTGATCTGCATGACGAATCGAAGGGGTTCGTAGTACTAGATAGTCTGGTTGTTGAAGTGTATATTCACGTGATGTCTGATGTGAAAGAGTTCTCCTCCAAAATGCCTGCTTTATAAACAGTGTCTGTAGAGGCCATACTCCGAAAGCCAATGTTGTTCCTTTTCCTATTTTTGGTGAATACCTTGCTAGTAACCACTTTCAAGCACTATATTAAGGGAAATTGAAGGGAAGGGATAATGGAGTGGATCTAAATCCTTATTACACTGAGCTGATCACAAAGATGTACTCAGATTTGACTGACTTCACAGTAAAGTAAAAAATAAAGGGAAATTTGGGTGCCGGTATACATAACTTATTGGGGGTGGAAGTCCATTTGAAAAAACATTTTGTGTAAAAGTCTATTTCGAGTTTGAATTACTATCATACTCTTAAACTAAAGAGAAACCAATCAGAAAAGAAGCAACTCTTCTCGAAAAAAAAGGCAACTAAATTTGTGTTGAATTTGGTTGTGGATTTTTGCTTGGGAATTTTGAATCAATATTAATTATTGCAGGTTCTAATTATTATGAAGAGTCTATTAATATGGAGGCTGAATTTTTGGGGTTATATGATATACTTGAGCTTGAAATTTGGATTTCTCATATCCTAATCAGTTTGAATTTTCAAATAACCCATGCTTTTAAGGACGCTAATGCAACAATAGATTTGTAGGCAAACAAAGGGATTCTTGACCAACAACCAAGGATTTATCTTAGTTGGAAGGATTTTACCGTAGACGGTGGGTTACATCTTTGCGGGATTATCAAGGAATTTTCAATCAAATGGGGAAATTTCGTTGGAGGAAGATTTTGGAGGTTTCGATTACTCTTTCGGGTCTTCTTTATTTTTTTTTTTAATGCAATCTTTAAGTATTTTTTCATTGATCAACTATTAATTGTATTAGATTGCATAAAGTGGTAAGGTTCTTTGTACCCCTAGTTTCATGTTATTTTTGTTTTATTAATAAAATGTGCCTCGCTATAACGAGATTTAATGAAATAAAATAAAATAAAATTACAGTTGTGACTTTATAGAGTGACAACTTAATGACAATTTGATTTCAGTACTTGTCCACTACATGCAACACAAACAATGGTATTATGTTCGTAGAGTGACAACTTAATGACAATTTAATTTCAGTACTTGTCCACTACATGCAACACAAACAATGGTATTATGTTCATAGAGTGACAACTTAATTTTATGGTTTGACTTATACAGACTACAACAAACATTGGATTTTGTTCATAGAGAGACACCATAGAGTAACAAATTGATTTCATTGCTTGACCAGTACAACTTATAATAGACATTGAATTGTGTTCATAAAGAGACACCACAGAGTAACAAAATTGATTTCATTCCTTGGCCAGTACAAACTATAACAAAAATTGGATTGTGTTCATAGAGAGACACTATGACGTGATAAACTAATTGCATAGCTTGGTCACTACAAAGCTATGATGTCTCTCTTTGATGTCACTTTTTGGTCTTACTTTTTTTTGGATTGTGTTTTTTCTGATGTTACTCTTTGTAATTACAAAGGCAACAACACAAAAAGAAAATAGTAACAACAATAAAACTGGTTTTTTATTATATTTTATTATATAAATGGTTTCTTAAATTAATGGATAATTAACTGTTTGAATTTTGAAACGATTCCATTAATAATCTTGTCCGTCAAAGTTTGGTTTTTTCTCCATTGACCTATTTACGGATTCTATTTTCTTCAAACAGACACCGAAACTCATCCTCTCCAAGTAGACACTGTATCGATTACGGTTTCAAAAATGTCAACAACGCTTGTTTTATTTTTTCTTCGTTCAACCATTTATGGATTCTATCCTCTTCAAGCAGCCATCGAATCTCAACCTCTCCAACAAGACATTATATCGATTTTGTTTAAAAAAAATCGATACAACATTTATGTGTTGTTAATTGTAGGAAGGGCCCATCATTAAGTGACATGGATTACTCTGAAAACTGGAGACAATGATTTTTATTTTAGTTATTTGAGTTAAATTGTACAATAATGATATGAACACCATCGTTGTGCACCACCTAATGTGGGATGATCCTAGCCATTGAAAATTCAATGAAGTTAATGGGATCCATTAATCTAATGGTTCACATTGAGATGTTACAGAAAGGTGATAAGTATAGTATTGTTGTAAATTGTATTAGTGTAGCTTTCGCTAGGAATCTTAGTACTCCTTGCTATTGTAAAGCATTGTAGGTAAAAAAAAAAAAATAGAATGGATTAAATCTGGTTGCTAGGGGCCTGGTTCTTCCTGTAACTGTTGTAAAGCTAGAGAACTTTTAGGCTATGCTTATTTAACTATCTTCTAAACTACCGGAAAAAGGGAAAAGATATTCTAATAGCTGAAGTTTGTAATTGTTGTCCTCTTTCACAATATTTAAGGTTTGCTTGTTACACCGTTCAATCATTCGTTCAAGCATATGTTTATTTACCTGCCTTATTTGCCAGTTTATTTGATTGTTGTTGTATGCGTTTAGCTATATTACTGATTTAAAGGCAAATCCTGCATAATTAAGACTAACAGTACTTCTAAATGTGCAAACTGAAAAAGCCACAAATCATCCAGAAGTTGGTATCATAAACTTTTTCTTGGCCAAATATCCACAATACTAGCCAAACCAACAAACCCTAATCAGAAAAAAGTGTACGTCAGTGGTGGTGGGTTGTTTGTGGGGTGGACCTAGATGGTGGACAGCGACGGAGATGATAAATGGTGATGTGTTTTTGGTGGTGATTTCAGGTTTTTAAAAGATGTTGGGTGGTGAATTATGTTCAGACTGTGGTGGCTATGATTATGAGCAAGGAAAGAGCAAAGCAAGGCTTTTTAGAACCCCCGGGTAAGTCATGGCATCCTTAGGCAAAAACTATGCTCCGTCCCTACTTACATGGCTTCAAATGGTGGTTGATGGAGCGTTGGTATGGTGTCGATGAGAAACAAGACTAGGCCACTCATTCGGCATTAGGGTGCACTTACAAACAGTAACCTCTGCCAATTTTTCCATTCACCAACAAAATCCACAACGGTTTCATATCAGAAATTAAAGTATATTACAGCCCAAAGTACAAGGATTTATGGTGAGAACATTATTATGCTACAAAATTGTGGCATGCAACTTCTGCCCTATTTATATTGCATTTTTCTACAACATCATCTGATCTTCTAAGAGCACTACTTCTTACCATAATATCTGTCTAAATTCTAGCTTATTCTAG